CAACCTCCGCCTCCTGGGTTCATGCAATTCTCCTGCCTCAGCCTTCTGAGTAGCTGGGATTACAGGCACGCGCCACCATGCCCAGCTAATTTTTTGTGTTTTTAGTAGAGACGGGGTTTCACCACGTTGACCAGGATGGTCTCGATCTCTTGACCTCGTGATCCACCCGCCTCGGCCTCCCAATTTTTGTATTTTCAATACACTCCGGGTTTCACCTTCTGTTGGCCAGGCTGGTCTCGAATTCCTGACCTCAGGTGATCCACCGCGCCTGGCCACGTATTTCTTGAATGAATGTTATTATTAGGTAATTATCTGAGGACCAAGGAAAAGAGCCAGAGCTGCATTCCTCACTAAGGAGCTATGTTACTGGTGTGAAAAGCTCAGACTCAAGTCCAGCTCACTGAGTTAGAATCCCAGTTTCCCCCATTACAGATAACCTTGGGCAAATCATTTAATCACTAAGCTTCAGTTTCCCAATGTGTAAGAGACACACGCCACACCCATTTACCTCATAGGGCTGTTGCAAAGATAATTAGAGAATAAAATGCACAAAAGGTGCTTAGCACAGTGCTGGGATATACGAAGTGTCCAAATTTAGTTACTACTATGGTTAGGGGGCACCTCAATGGATATGCTTCCAAAAGGGAACAATTTAATTAAACCAAGGACCGTCCAGAGTTGCTGGGGACCCAGTTCCTGCCTCTACGAAGCCTAGAGAGAAGCAAGGGAGACAAACAGACCACTCGACTCTCTCGAGAGGGAGACGCACCAGGTACAAACGGAACGCCCGCAGAAGGCACTGGGAGGGAGGTTCGGGGCAGTGCTTCCCTGAGATGACACAGGGGAAGGCCTCTCAAGGGCGTATGGACAGAGCGGGATCCCGACCACCTCTCTGCTTCTTCCTGAGGCAAGAGCCCTCGCCGCGGGCTTTTCTCGGGACAGTGTTTTGGGAGGGAGAGCCCCCTGGGCCCAGACCCGGCTACAGGGAAGGCCGCGAGGGCGCGGGACTCACCCGCGGCGCTGAAGCCGAAGCCGGCAGGGACTGGCGAGTGTTCCGCGAGCTCCAATCGGATGACAACCAGTGACACACTCATAGGGCAGGCGCTGGCCGGCGCGGGCTCCGGCTGGCTCAGGAAAGGCTGGGAGGCGAGCCGAGAGGCCGAACGGCCCGGAGCTGGCAGCGCCGCCACCGCCTCAACGCGGTCGCCGCCGCCTCAGCAGCAGCAGCTCCTCGCACAGCTCACAGAGCCACAACAACTTCCACTTCCGCCTCCCGGCCGCCGTCGCTGACCCGTGGGTTACGCATGCGCGCACCACCGCGCACAACGATTGAGCTGCGCGGCACCGGGTCAGCCTGGTGTCCTTCCGGACGGGATCTCGAGGAGATCGGAGCAGGACGTCGTGGCGATTGCTATGGCTGGGGTCTCGCACTTAGGCTGAGCGGCAAGTTTTCGCCCAGCTCCGAGTTAACCTCTGCCTGCCCGAGAGGCCTCGTCCTCAACCCACCTCGTCTGACGGCGCGGGATCCCCGGTTCCGCGAGGTCTCCAAATTGTCCGCGCTGTCTGCTATGCAGAACTTTGCCCTTTTTGTTGTGTTTGACTCCTCCCTCTAACCCTAGTAAGGGTGGTTTTGTTTCTGTCCCACTTTACAGATAGGTACAATGAGGCTCAGAGAGGTGAAGTGGCTTCTAAGGGGCCATAGGGAGTGGAGACTCGATCGCCATTCAGACAGCGATCTAGTCGGACGCGGTGGCTCACGCCTGTAATCCCAGCACTTTGGGAGGCTTAGGCGGGCAAATCACTTCAGGTCAGCAGTTGGAGACCAGCCTGGCCAACGTGGTAAAACCCAGTCTCTACTGAAAATATAAAAAATTTAGCCGGGTTTGGTGGTGGGCGTCTGTAATCCCAGCTACTGGGGAGACTGAGACAGGAGATTCGCCTGAACCCGGGAGGCGGAGGTTGCAGTGAGCCGAGATAGTGCACTCCGGCTTGGGCAACAGGAGCAAAACTCCATCTCAAATCAGAAAAAGAAAAGATAGCGATTTGCTGGTTACGAGCACAGTGCTGGAGTTGTGGGTCCTCCTCCTCACCCTGTCAATTCACAAATGTTTCCTGAGAGTCTGGACACCCTTGGGATGCGTTGGCGTGTAAGATAAACATAGTTCCTTTCCATACTGTGAAGTCGACCTACATCAGCAGTTGTGCAGTATTGAACTAGTCATTGCATAAAGTTGTCATGATATCATAACTTCATGCAGTTGTGAGGATGAAACAAAATTATCTATATAGAGATAATACTAGCTTTCTGAGGCTGAGCATTCTCTCCAGTATGTCAGACTGACTTTTGTATGTAGATAGTGACAGATACAATCAATGCATATATGACAGGATGCTACTCTAGGTACATCCTGTAATAATACATATGTAAGTACATAGTACATTCTAGGTATTTGTATATGCAGACTGTATGTCTATAACATGACCATAAGATACATGTGTATATAGAGCTTGTGATTACATCCTATGAAATAGGTTTCCACATGCCCTGTTTAGATCAGGGTTTCTCAACCTCTGTGCTATTGACATTTTGGGTCCTGATAATTCTTGTTTTTTGGCCAGGGGGCAGGGTGTCCTGAGCATTGTAGAGTGTTTAGAAACATCCCTGGCCTGACCCACTAAATGTCAGTAGCACCTCTCCCTAGGTGGTGACAACCAATAATGTCTCTGGGCCTTGCCAAATGTCTCTTTGAGGTCAAAAAACAACCCTGTTGAAGAATCACAGTGTTATGCGAAAGTGCATAAACCATACACACATACTATATGCATAAAACATATGAGACTCTTGTGAACTTTTTTGGTATATTACTCTTAGAAGATAAAAATTCAAAGTTTGCCAGGTACTAATTTGAGTGCTTTACATACCTTGTCTCATGCAGTGGTAACAACTTTATGAAATTGGTACTATATTTGTCTTTATTTTACAAAGGAGTAACCTGAGGCTCAGAGAAAGAGTAACTGGCTCAGGATTTCACACATAGTAAATGGCAGAGCTGGAATTTAAATCCAGACAATCTGAATTCAGAGCCAACATTATCTTTCTACCAAATAAACCATCTTCTTAATAATGTATGACAATATACACTGTGTTTGCATATTTATGAGAGCATCATTTAGGTAGCAAATCTGCATTATCATGCTTATCCCATTTTGAGTATCTAGAAGAAGACAAATCTTTATGGTAGATGACAATAACAGAGAACTAGAACTGTTAGCCAGAGTTGGGCAGGTTGGGAATGTAACAGCTCTTCGTGGCTGCCAAAGATTAAATCTGTCCCCAGCTTTTCTCTGTTTTCTGATGTGTCCAGTTTATGTATCCTTTCAACTCATACAGAGCACCCACTAAGTGTCTAAAAACTGTACTAAGTCCCAGGGGATATATGTATACCAAGATGAATAAGATACTCCTTGTCTTAAGGACCTTATAAACACATAGACATGAAAACAGTCATGGTGGCCCTCGCCTGTAATCCCAGCACTTTGGGAAACAGACGGGAGGATCACATGAGGTCAGGAGTTCAAGACCAGCCTGGCCAACATGGTGAAATCCCAACTCTACTAAAAAAATGCAAAACTTAGCCTATCATGGTGGTGCACGCCTGTAGTCCAGGCTACACGGAGGCTGAGGCAGGATAATTGCTTGAACCTGGGAGGCAGAGACTTCAGTGAGCCAAGATTGCCCGACTATACTCCAGCCTGGGCAACAGAGCAAGATTCCATCTCAAGAAAAAAAAAGTAGTGACTGGTCGGGTGCGGTGGCTCTCTCCTGTAATCTCAGCCTTTGGGAGGCTGAGGCGGGTGGATCACGAGGTCAAGAGATCGACACCATCTTGGCCAACATGATGAAACCCTGTCTCTACTAAAAATACAAAAATTAGCTGGGCGTGGTGGCGCACACCTGTAGTCTTGGCTTCTTGGGAGGCTGAGGCAGGAGAATCACTTGAACCTGGGAGGCAGAGGTTGCAGTGAGCCAAGATTGCGCCACTGCACTCCAGCATGGGCAACAGAGTGAGACTCTGTCTGAAAAAAAAGTTACTGTGTAATTGGGTAAGTACTCTGCTGAAGATACAGCAAAGAGGCAATGGGAGTGAAAAAATAAATTTCACACTCTGCCTGGAAAAAGAAAAGAAAAGCCTCCACGGAGGAGCTAAAACAGGCCGTGATGTCAAAGTGAATGGAAATTCACCTACCAAATAAAGCAGGGAAAGATTC